CCACTGTCCTTCCAAGGTCCAAAGAAGACATAAGCCAGTCTGCCTCCGTGGAAATACCTGTATGAACTATCAAGAATATTATTTGTACTTGAGTACTGAAAGTTAGTGTGGACTGGTAGAAGAGATGGAATATCAGCTGACTTGGAACTGCGCTTGGTTACAGATGGGTTTTAATTAATAACTGTGAATGCAATTCAAGGCAGCTGTCTGTTAAAATACATAAACACAAAAATCTCTTTCAATTTGTTATAGCATTATACACTGCAGTGATCGATGACTTATAATTATAGACTGCCAAAAAAAAAACCCCAAAAGTAATTTTGCAGTCCACTCTTCAGCAATGAGGTAGCAGAAACAGAAGAATAGAATTAGTAGAATAGAAGAATAATAAAGTAGAAGAAGAATAGAATTAGTAGAAATAAAATAGAAGAATAGAAGAACAGAAGAGAGTAGCAGAATAGAAATAGAATCTAATAAACACGCTCCAAAGATGAAAAACACTGGAGAAACAAATAGAGTTAATATGTTAAATATACAGCATAGCATAACAGATCCCACTGATAAAAGGCATTGGAAAAGAGAAACTTCTTTCTTTTAACTTAGAAAATTGAAAAATGTCATGTTAAGCTCAATTCCAAGGTAATGCATCACAAAGCAGGCCCCATCCATCCATTTCATAAACTTACAGAAGTTTCTATCATTTAAAATGCTGCAGAGCAAATGAGGTGTTGTTTCCCTTTTCAACACAATGAAGGAAATAATAAATAAAGTAATGAGACCTTCCTATGGCATCTTTTGTTATGTATACCTGAAGAAGAGAGGATAGAAGTTCAGCATAGTGAGTAGAATGGGCTGAACAAGAAGTATTGTGTAGATAAGACCCTACAAAACTCTTTTACAATGGTTTGTCCAGCATTTCAGAAATACTCTTTCTGGAAGAAGATAAATAAACATGCTGGGAATATTTTGCTATTGGTCTGATCTTCCCTAGAGCCAGTATAATGCTTTGTATATCATTCCATCAAAAACATAATTTTAATTCACCAGCTGCAATCATATATGACTGCTTGATTATGCTGCACTTGAAAACAAAAGTTGTGAGGTTAGCTTTAAAGTAATTTTGCTTCTGAAATTGTGCTGTTAAGCAAGCAATGTTTATTTGGTGATTTATTTTTTTTAAGGAACAAAAAATACCATGCTTAATAATATATCATTTATTTTAGCCATTATATAAATGGGAAAATGCCACATGATAAGCTGAGATGCCTCTAAAAGTATTTGGTGTAAAGTGACACAATGTCAAGATAGCATGACCAGTCTCACAAAGCTTATTTGCAAGAACACGGTATGTTTGTAGTTCAAAGCAGCCCCTCATGTGACAACACTAAACATTTTTTGTGTTTCATTCCTACCATTTATGCTCAAATCTTCATACACCTATAGTCTTACAGAGTCTTAAAGGCCAGCTTTAACTCTGCTGCTATGAAATGCAAGCTCTTCGGCATTTCTTAATATCAAGACCAAGTAATGTTGCAGATGAAAAATATTACTTGAATGTAAAATATTACTATTAAAATATATAACTGGATCTGGAAAGGTGGATGGCTTTGTAACTTTAAGCAATCTGTCCAGTTATAAGTTATAAGCACATTGAAAAGACTGTTAAAATGATGGAAAGCAAAAATGCAGTATTTCATCAATACACTATAAATCTTTCTGAATCCTCTCAGGAGTCATGGGCACAACTGGGTCTCACCCTAACATGAAGTCAGAGGGACCAGGTTCTAAAGTGTAAGCATATTCTAATGAAGTCCATAGCTAAAGACTACCAGTTCTTGTCAGTACAGATGCCCAAACTTTCACTGGATGAAAAAAAGTAGGGATCTACTGGTTAAAACTGGTTTCTCCAGCGTTGTAGTGAATGACTATTGGTCTCATTCAGGATGACAATCCCCATATTCCCCCTTTTTTTCCCATAGCATCCATTAATTTTGGTCTACAAGTTTTGTTGGAAGGTGAAGGTGGCAAGGAAAAGGTCTAACAAAAAACTTCAAACCTGGGTAGTCACACTGGTGTTTCCTGCCATGTGTCACATGTACTTCAAGTTCATTAAAACCCAAAGCAGTAGAGACATGGTTTCTTTCAGCCCAGGAGTATGTTTCTTTTTCTCTACTGATCCCCTCTGGAGAAATCAGAGCACTGCTGTTTAAGATAAGACAAACACTGTTGTTTACCTGACAAAGTATTTGGCAAATGGACAAGCACTGCAGTGATTGAATTACTTAGAATTACTTCCCAAATTTCCTGTCGCTGATCAACTCCTATAAAATGTATTTGTATGTATCATTAAGTGTTCTTCTCAAGACAACTCAACCCTGTGCAAAAAAACTACACAGCCCACAATGCCACACCCAAAAACTCCAAAGAAACACAAAAAAAAAGGACCCAAAATCTCTTAAATCCTTCAATTTGGTAGCTGCCTTTCTTCAAAGAAGCAAAGTCCTCTTTCTTTTCTAACAATGAAAAAAGAAATCTGTTCTTGCAAATACTGCTCACACTGTAGTGCTTTATGCCTCCTCCATACACCAGCTGAAACGCAAAATTAATTTTCACAGTAGCATTTTTTATGACAATTGCAAAGAAATGTTTGAAGGTTTTTTCTCCTCTCAGATTAAATCTTTTAAAGCAATCCTCTGCTTTAACAAGCAGGAAGGGGACATTTTTCTATCGCAAGACATTCTAAGGCAAAATCACATCCTTTATCTGCTCTGAAAGCTGAAAATTCTTTCTATGCAGAACATCTAGTGTGACTTTCCAGAATGGTGACTTAAAGAATGTTACAGCTTCCATACACTGGTTAGCTGCACTTTCTGCACTAAGAGTGTTGATTAGAGTTTGGACAGTTTTCATAATTGCATGGATATTTAGTACTGAATGAATGGCAGTGGAGCAGTTACTACAGTTCAAGGCTTTGAGGCATTCTGTGACAACATACTATTTCTGATGGCGTGCTTTGCTCTTGAGTGGATGGAAAAACTTGAGAGATTCGTGCTAGTCTCTCCATGGACTTTCAGAACAGTGAAATTTATGCTAATGACTGGGGAATGGGCAGTTTGATGGGTTTCTTTATCTGTCACATGCATCCTAACAAGGGGCTCTTCAGAATGGAATTGCCAAGGGCTCTTACCTCTTGTTTCCTTCTGTTGGCTGCTTTTTAGTATTCAGCTTGTTGTGAGAGTTTAGAGTCTCCAAATTCCTCTCTTATTCTTGACTTTTTCTCCTTCTGTCTTGTTGGGCACAAAGATTCTTTTAGTTATTTATTCTTTGTTTCCTTCCTGCTCTTCCTCAACTCTACTTTCTTTGATGTCTAACACCTTCACTCCAACTTTATTTCCTTTTCTTTCCTGTGAAGTTTCTACACATTCTTTTATCTTTGTTCTTTCTTTCTGGCTGCCCCAGTTGAATTTGTATGATCCAGTTTGACTTCCTTTGTGTTTTCCTTTTCAGTGAATTTATCTACTCTAAGCCCCTCCACTTTTTCCTCTACTCTAGGAATCAACTTCCATCTAATATTTATGTGTCCTGCGCAAGCTTCATGCCTATCTGGGAGCACTGCATATACCGCATTCTGGATTGCCTTAAAACCTTGGTAGCCAGTTCACAGAGCTCCTGTTGTTCCTCCTTTCAGTAAGGTTATAATTTGTAAATGAAAGGACTTCTCTGCACTGAGCGCACCTCATTTCACTTGCGTCCAGTTCACTGTCAGATTCACTAAGCTTCTTCCTCAGTTATTTATGCAATATACACTGCCTCTGAGGATCTACTACAACTGCATCCAGAGTATAGCCTCACTTTGTGTGTACTCAGGTTATTTATCTTTTACAGGGTTGCTCTTTTCAAGGAACCTTTTGCTATCTATATTAGGTTAATGGACAAAAAATAAAGTCATTTATTCTGTAAAGGAATTACATTCCATTACAGTATAAATGTATAAATAAATTACTACGACATAACAGTGTTAAAATGTACAAGCTTCCCCACAGAACAGCTCATAACATGTGGGAATGGGATATCAAAAACTCTTTGAGAAAACACCTGCAGGACTTATGCCCAAATTTTATTAAAGCATTTAAACACATATCTCAACACCTAGCACAAGAATTTGTACAATTATGGTGAAATTCACCACCAGCAAAAGAGCCAGCATAAGACCTCTTCAATGTCCACATCCCAATCAAGTGCTCAGAGAGTAAATGATTACCAGGTCTTATCCTTGTATCCTGTCCAGGAATTGGTAAAATCCTCAAGTATTAAGCTGTTTATCCAAGTGAATTTCTTATCCAAGTGCAAAATAACCATAGTACCACACTGGGCTCTAGGACTGGGGATGATTGGGGGTGATTTCAGTGGACTTTATGTCTACATCTCAGCAAGTCATCTAGCCTCCTTTCATTGCTAATGGAAAGAGAAAAGCCTATTCAAGGTATGAACACTGAGCCCAGGTGAGCCAAATTTTACCCAAGCAATCAATTACACTGGTGCTTGCTTTGACAAACAGAAGAATAAGTGTTGCAGAGATGGAGGATCAGAGAAAAAGTTTAACTTGACATTAAAAACATGATCACCAGCTGATTTTTTTGCCGATCCTTAATTTAAGTGTTGTTTCCCTTAAACTGCTTAGACAAACATTATGGTCTAACTCCAGAAATTATTAAAGACAAAAGGTTAGCATGTTATTTACTCTGTGGAATTTTATTGCTCCTCCTATATATATGAAATAGAAAATGGTGAGCACCTCTCCTGCATAGCCCCATTTGCTTTAACACACGTCTGGGGTTTTATGCAGTTATTCCACCTCTCCCACGTCTGCTTTGCACTATACCCCACCACTGCCACAGTAAGCATTCATGTGCATGGCCCTTTGCACAGCAGCTGTCACAGAAAGCTGAGCACACAATCACTTCTTTCTGTTTGCTCCTGTTGTTGTCGTGATTTATTAGGTACAAAGGCAGGAGACTGGCCCCGCACAAGTCGGAAATAGAATGTTTCACCCCAAAAGGGAGTATGGGGAATGGTGGGAGAGCTACAATGACCAGGTAAGCAAACAGCAAGTGGCCTATAGGGCAGTGTGATATGTCTGTGAACAAGAGGAGCAGCCCTGGGACAATGCCAGGCCAGATCCTCTGTCTGTAATTCCTGTGCATCCCATATAACATGTTTAGAAAAGAAAAAACAAAAGAGAAAACATCACCACTGCTGGTTTCTATGTTCCATCTGATCGCCAAAAAACCCCTGCACCGTGTTCATTCAAGTGATCCAAACCACGTGTCCTGTGTGATGTTGTCATAATGGTGCTTTGAGGAGGAGAAACCTCACATCTGACCCATTAAACCAATAGAACAGATGGAGAGAGGCAGCATTCAAACTTGGAGTAAGCAGCTCCAAAACTTCTCTGGAACAGTGGTCCCACTACATATTAGGCGTTATATTAGGTCCAATCAAAAGAGCTTTTATAAAAAGCAGAGAAAAACTGATTGATGAAAATATTTTTAGTATGAAAACATTGGTTCTTCTCAATCAAAATATCTTGGGGAAAGTTCTGAGTTTTACAGTGGTTTTAAGGAAAGATTTAAGGAACTTTTAAATAGAGTTCAAAACATCTTTTTCATAACTTTCTCCATTTAATTTAATTTTATTTAATTTATATATTTATTTTCAATTTCGTTTTGGCCATTATATTTTGCATGGCAGTATACACCAATGTTACCATTTTAATTAATATTCTAATCTACATTTTTTTCAGTGTTACTGGGACAAACAGTTTCTATATGGCCATTTTGATGTTTTTGTACTTAGATACTTCAAACTATTTGACTTCTGTGACATACTTGAAAATTTCAACTATTCATCTCATTTTAAGTCCAGCCAGATTTCCAAATGTTGAACTCCCTCATGGGGCAGAAAATCCATTTCTTCAGACATGTTCATTAATAAGTGAATAAGCCGCATGTGTCACAGATGGTTATAAATCTTTCATGAAACAATACTCTTAATAAGCACTGTTGCACTCTACTACAAGTTAGAAGCATTTTGTTTACCCTTTAGTAAAATATTTACTCATTCTTTATCGAACCCTGAAGTGCATTTATCAATGTACCTTTATAGCACAGTATGACCAAATTATACCTTTACTTTTCCCAAGTGTTACATATCACAAGGTGAACTTTATCATTGCAGGAGGGCATTCAGTGAAACACTTGCACATTACTATGTTCCCCTTGGGTACAACGTTTACTTATGTACATAAGGCTATCAACTATAACGCCACATAGTACACATCTGGGGGACCCCTACTATTTAAGCAACATCAGGAACGTTCATCACTGAGTGTTGTATAAAATATATATAAGCCCATTATTTTTTTGTCAGCTGGGATGCTGTTTCTTGTCTGCGTGTTGTCTGGATTATTTTATTTTTCCTACGTTGCATTTCTTTCAGTGATATTTATTCTTCATTTAAAAGCTATCTGGAGTCACTATATAAGAGAATTTTGAAGAGCAGAAAAGTACATGTAAATGTCAAACAACTGTATTTTGTTGTACAGTGTTCAGCTCTGTTGTGCCTGGCCATATATTTATACACTTGAAAAACTTCTTTTTTATATTTTATATTTTCACAGTGAAGAATCTGTTTGCATTCCAGACTGTAATCGATCTGAGTCAAGTAGAGAGGAGAAAAAGGTTCCTGTTAAAGAGGATGCCCTAACAGTCAAAAAGACTGGAAACTGTGTCAGTCTAATAGTTCCACAGCAAGACTGTCAGCTGCAAGACCTACTCAAACAGTTAAGAACACCTGCTGCTTAACAGAGAGTGCAATTGCATTTGATGGCTGTGTTTTGTTGTCTCCAGCCACAGTGTCCTGGCCAGTGGTCCTTGTCAAATTTCCATGAGCCAAGCAGGGTTGCCACTAAATAGCCTGGGAACCTCCTAGAGAGAACGTAGATGTTGCAGAAAGGAAAGTAGGTGCCATTCTCCTGTCAGTAAGTATCAGACCAGTGCTAGAAGTCACTTGGATGAAGTGCAGGTGGAAAAGATGCAGGGGTCTGGCTATTTGTGAATAATGCAAAAACCTCATTATCTCACGGGACAAAGAGGTTCCATGGTACTGACTAAATCCCACTTACATCCTTTCAGTCTAAAAAATGCTGTACTCTTTCACACTGGGCAGTATTATTCAGCTTTTGTTCTCAAATCCCTCATGCAATATTATTTTCACATCAGGGCCTAACTATCTCTATATATTAGTCTTTCAAATTGCTTGGGATTTTTCAGGGTGAAAAGTGACATTAAAATAACCATAATGGGTACATCATGTGATGCTTTACAAGACTATTTGGATGGGCAACAGTGTCTAGTGGGAAGGTGCCCTTGCCCATGGACAGGGTCCACCTGGTTGGAGCTAGATGATCTTTAAGGTCCTTCCAAACCAAAACATTCTTACTCTATGATTTTTGCATTTTGGGTTATGACAATAGGTGTCCTAGAAATATTTCATTCAGATATCAGACATTTCATTTCCCATTCTGACCACTCATGCTGCTGAAGCAGCTCCCAGCATTAGCTCCCAGAATCACCAGTGGCTGCAGTGGGAGGTCATTGGCAAAGTTTCTGTCATCAACTCTCTCTCACTTTGTAGTTTCTTTCACCCTTGTACATTAAAGTCATTCATATAAATGTCAGCTGTGATTTTCATGAGGAAAGGATGTATTGAAAGATTACAGTTCGAGGAGTAATATGAATAAATGCCCTTGCTGTTAACAAAAAACAGCTCTCCTTGTTTGAAAAATAATTGCAAAACATATTGTTTACTTCTAGAACTTGGGACAGGACAAAGTGAATTTTTGCCCTGTATTATTCCACTTTTGTGTTACGATGTTATTTATCTCTATTGAACAAGCAGCATGGAAATAATTTAAGCTAAATTACTTCAGTGATATAAAAATCCTTGATCAGAGTAAGTGCTACTGAGCAACTAAAACATCGGTGTGTTATCAGCATTGTTCTTAGACTAAAGCCAAAACACAGCACTGCAGCAGCTCCTAGGAAGAAAACTATCCCAGCTGAAACCAGTACACTATGTCAACTTCTTTAAAAAATTATATTGCTTCAAGTTCAAATGCAACACTCTGCTTCAGTCATTGAAACATCTAAGCGCAACTTTGCTGCCAATTTTGGCTCAATAAAATTTAGATCAGTGTTCTGAAATACAAACTTTCCTGCATTGACTTATAAAGAATTTGAAATCATTCCTTATTATGTTCATGTGAGGACAGGTTGCAAACAGATAATACAGATCTCATTCAAGTTAATGTCCAGTATCTGTTTTCAGTTGGATCATTTAAAATCTGGAATTAGATACTGATATTGCTACATGATACAGAACAAAAATTCCCTAAAAATTTGTATTAATTTTTATTGATTCCCCTTGTATTCCAGTTTTCACTACTGAATACTATGCATCTATCCATCTATGCATATATCCATTCTAAGCTTCCTTAGAAAATAATAAACTGCATAATTTTAAACTGATTTTCCTATTTCATTTAAAGTGATTAACAAGTGAATAAGTGATCTACTTTCAAATTACACATTATATCAGTAACTGTCTGAATACTAGTCCCTAGGCAATCATCATTAGAACTGATTTTAGTAAGTTCAGGTAATTAGTGAGAATGGCAACCTTGCTAAAATATGAGAGTTTTCAGCTTTTGTGACTCAGAGTTCCTATTTCTGTTTTTAATTTCTTCTGTATTTTGAAGGACTTCCTCTAATAGCATCTGGCTAAACAAATCCTCATCTCATAGATAATCATACCATAGAGCAAGAAATGTTGAAAGAAAACTCCTACTACCTCAGCCAAAACAAAGGACAAAGTGATCTATTCTAGACAGTAAAAAAAAATCAAACAGAAACAGGTGTAATGGGAGGGGAACATTTTTCTTAACACTGAAGTGGATAAAAAGTAGTTAATATTCCTTATGAACACAGAACAAGGCTCTGAAGGCAAAACTTTAGTGTCACTATAAAGATTAAGGGAAGGAAATGTGAAAGTATACTAATTAATATTCTGTCATCAAGTGGACAACTGTAGAGGAAATAGTTAAAATATCAAAGACTTTGAAAGCTCTTGTGTCTATACCATTTTCATGTCTTGTACATATTATATCATGGTAGGTCTAGCAAGCTGGGAAAAAACCTAGCTTTCAAATCAAATCAAAGCATGTAAAAGGGTTTGTTCTACCAAAAGAAAAGTATTTTGCTCACATTTTGTTTTGGAAATCATGTCACTGATTAGAGTTTGACCTTCTAGAAATATGACCTGTACTCTGCTTTGCTCTATTCAATGCAATGTGCCAGCAGAAAAGCAGATTGGGATAGAAAAATATGGATTCAGCCAAACTTAGCAGTGGAATTCCTTTAGGAGCTCAAACGTGTAACTCTGTTCTCATCTGAAGGAGCCAGAAACTCTTTGCAAGAAAACTCTGGAATTTCCCTGACCTAAAGTTTCCCATCACCAAAGGGTCATGACAGAGCTGGGCACAATGAATATAAACAATTCCATTAGTAGACATCATAGTCTATATCTCTGATCTATCTTTATTTCTCTATTTTTAAATAATGTATGTGCATTGCAGTGGTTTCCAGTTAACTTGAGTAGCAATATGCAGTTAGAGCAGAATCTTAAAGTACTATCACTGCAATTTATCTGTAACACAGCTTCATAACCAATATGAGAAAACAAGTGGTGTTCGTTTCACAGAGGCAATAAATGATTGCAAACCGCAGATCAGTGTTGACTTTGTAGTAAGTAGGTGCAGCATAATAAAGTGGGTGATACATTTCTGAGATAACAATTCCAAATTATTTCTGGGCAAACTACTAGGATTTTAACTATAAGGTTCATTTCTTACTGATAAATTGCTGGTTGCTTCCTACTCAGTTTATTTTATAGCAGGGAATTTGCAATGAGTAATGGCCAGGTCTTTCAGGCTTTTGCACAACATTTACATTGAACAGCCACTGTTCTCCTCTAGAGCACTAGGATCTCCATTAGAGTCACACAAACAGCTTAGTTACTGTTGGGCACAGTGCAAAGGCAGTAAATGAATGCAAAGGCAATAAATGAGTGACCCAAAAGCAAACTGGGGGCTGGTGACAGTTGCTCCACTGAAGATTTAACTGTCAGCTGCCCTTGCCAGGAGCTGGGCACATCCCCAGATTTCATCCTTTTCCTTTCCCCAGGCTCCTCAGCCTTATATCCTTACTTAATAATCATTTCCCGAAGGGTGACCATGAAGGGACTGACACATTCTCTTCACAGCATCTTACAATCTGACCTTCAGCCAGCTGAAAATGTCTACATGCATTTAGTACTCATGCACACACTTAAAACCATAGGGTTTGAACATCTCTTCTAAGCCAGTGCTTGAAGTCAGGAATGGTGCTAGATTTCACCTCTTTCCTCTGGCAGGCATTTCTATTTACATTGGTTAACCCTTCATGTTAAGGGCATATTCCACCTCTTTGGCAGGCAGCTCTGAACTCTGAGCTCTGAACTCAGCAGGAGTTGAGACTCCACCAAAGAGGACATCCAGGACTGGAACTAGGCCCTCTTTTTCTGCTAGATCAAAGTTACAAGTGTTGGGTCACTCAGCCTCCTGGTCCAGCTCAAACTCAACAGGAGCTGGAAGGAGGTATCACAATCATCATACCAGAACAAGAGGCAAGATCTCACCTGCCAAAGTATACTGCTGGCACCAAGCTCCCACTGAGCTCAGGACTCAGCATGACCACGGCTCTCAAACAGTTCTCAACACCCGCTGAATACATGTTCCAGTGAGATGAGCACACAATCCTCAGAAGCGATGATTTGCCTCTGGAAGATGTTAGTGCCAGTTCCTATTCAGCTCAGAATTGCATCCAGAGAGATGCAAAAATTCAAAGTAATCAGTGCTACAGGTTAGATTTAGCTTTTCTCTCTTGTTCTGATTGATGTACAGCAAAACAAGACACCAGCTGTTCTGCCTGGCATTCTGGGGTAGGTATATAACAGTTAACATCCAGATGACTTTAAAGTTCTAGATGACAACTGCAGAAAAGGGCTGAACCCTTATATACTCACACAGTTCATCTCCCAGTCTAGTCTCTCTTAAAATACCCGCTGGTTTATGCTGTGTTTGTCTACTGGATTCTGTCACGCTGCTTTTGAAGGGAAAAGCTGTTGGCATACATTGTGTTACATGATCCATCATAATTCCATGTAATGTAATCATGGATGTGAACCCACAAGAAGGTTTTGTTTACACGCAGCACATAAATTTTTTTTTAGATGATTGGAAGAGCTATTAAACTGATAGTGTGTGGCAAACCTCCACATAGAGGCTGGTACAAAGTCATCTGTGTTTGGTAAACTATGTGTCTCGCAAAGTGTTATACTGCAGACTAATGTGTGAGTTTATCTATTTCAGGCTTTAAAAGCAAACAAACAAGCAACAAATTTGTGATACTCTGCCAGGGTCTCCAATGTGGTTGTCTTTCTGAAATCCTAAATGGCTTTAGCAAATGTTCTAGAAACCAAAGCAAATTGTTTAAAGTTCTGTTGCATTTTATATATAAATCATGCTTATTTGTATGTGAAGTCTATGTTTTTCCTGTTGACATAATTTCAGAGTCATTGTCTGTTTTAGCTAAGAAATATTTCTAATGGTCTTTCTTAATCCCAAGAATTATAGGTTAATATATGTATAAACAGCAGCTCATCAGCCTAAGGAAGATGAAAAAGGAATGGACTCATACTATGTCTTTATAAGTGCCACATCTGGCTTTTCCTAGGTAGCAAGAGAAGAAAAATAAGCAACTTTGATAACGAGTAGAGTATGATGGGATCAGAAGAGAAATTACCCTGAGAGGACTCATTTTGTAGGACAGTAGAGCAAAATGTGTATTGCTCTCTCCAAACTCAGGTCATCATGAGGACCTGCTTCCATATATTGTCCATTATTTCTTTCCTACTAGGAATATAGTTTTATTCTATAAGCTGACCTGCAATCAAAAGTTACTTTTTTCAAGCTAGTGGTGGCTAACTTACCAAGTACCTTGATGAAGAAGTCACCCATTAGAACGGTTTCTACACCCACAAACAGTTTAACCCCTTTATGAGTATTGCTCCAGTACTTTCAAGTAGTAGGTTATAAACAGGTATTTTTCCCTCAGTCATAACAGACTACACTTCTCCATCTCCCAGTCTATACTCCCTGCCCCACTCCAGGAATCCATGGGCAGCACCCTACACCATGGTCCTTAACACTGAATGGTCCCAGACCAACCTACATACCTGCCACCTGTAATGCAGCCAGTCCAGGTCTCACCCCTATTCCTTTCAAGCATTTACTTCTTCCTCACTCCTCCATGCATCCATCAGTGCCACAGCCCCCCTTTCTGACACCATTCCAACAGAAACAAAGCCATCAAACTGCTCCCTCCCCCGAGATGGACACTGCCTGTGTCCCAAGGGCAGCAGTAAAGGGATCAGCAGTGGCCATGAACCAGCAAGAGTAGGTCACGGCTGGAGGCATGAAATGACTTGTGAAATGAGCTGGCACACTCTTCTTGATTTCCTAGAACATATAGGTATAAATGATAGATATAGATATATTGCAATAGAGATAGATGAAATTACAGTCTGCTTTATGAGGATATCATACAGTCAGCTCTGGCATACCACATACCCATGGTATAGGTACAGTGATTATGCTATTCATTATGATGCAAGTTACCATTTTATCTCATTTCTGTTTACAGCTCTAATGGGAAATCAGTTTCCTGGGCCCAGAATGAGAAAAGCAGCAGAGGAGCACACCTTTGGCAGCGGCTGTCAATCCACATCAACAAAAAAGAGAACCCCAATCAAACTGCAGTGATCAAGCCTTTTTCCAAAAGCACAGATAGTAGCCGACATAGTAGCAGCGCTACGTTTCCTGAGGCCAGTGCCAAAACACTTTATGATGTTTCAGAAGCAGAAGAACAATACCCAGCTCAGTACCGACCGCAGACTCCCTCACCTATCAGCACCCTGAGCCACAGAACTGCCTCCGTTAGCCGAACAGAAGATGATGCCCCCACCTTCCAGTCTGAGCCTGCTCAGCGAAGTAGCTCCTCTCAAGGTTCCCTCATGGAGCAGATCAGTAGTGTGGTTACTCGTTTCACAGCCAATATCAGTGAGCTGAACTCTATGATGCTTTCAACGGCCACTCCAGGGACAATGGTCTCCACTCCTCTCTGCTCTTCATACCTGATTCCACGGGAAATTCAGCTCCCTACAACAATGACCACGTTTGCAGAGATTCAACCTCTTCCTGCCATTGAAGTTAATGGCGCTTCGCAGTCAACTAGGAAACCTTCAAATGACAGCATCAAAGAAGGCACCTCGGAGACCCCATCAACCAAGCAAGACCTTGAGGAGTTGGTAGCTTTAACTCCTCCTTCTCCTTTTAGAGACTCCATCGATTCTGGAAGTGCGTCTCCCAGCTCTCCGGCTTCTGAATCAGCTCTCTGTATCCCATCCTCCCCGAAGTATGACACACTCCTCATCAGAGATTATACTCAAAGTTCTTCTTCGTTGTGAATGTAGTTCAATGCAACGTTGGAACGTTGGATCTCAATTACTACAAGCAAGTAGTGAGGGAACAGCCAAGCCTTCAAGATCTCCAGTGTTTACGTAGATAGAGTGAGAGGCATTGGGTCATCTTGTCAGAAGTGGAGAGCAAGAAGAGGAGTAACTTGAGAAGTGGAAACATCAGATTAATTATGCTGTTTTAAAGACAAAATGACTCTTGGCAGATTTTCGTGGCCTTAAAAAAACATGGGCTTTTCAGAAACACTGAATCTATTTTTGAGGGCTTATAAGGAGTCTGTTAAATCAGTTACATACCAAGTGCTTTGCTTTAGTATTACAATGAACCGTGTGTACAATATACAGGGCAGGGGGGAAACTAGATTGTAAACAACTGTACAATGGTTTGTTTGTTTACGCTGATTCCTTACCCAGAAGTGAACCTTGATCTTTTATCAAGAATAGAAGACCAAACATTGAATGTACATTTTCTAACAGACTCAAATCTGGGACCAACCTGTCAAGCTTTCTTTCTTTTTTTTTTTCTATGAAGATCTCAAAAAGCAGTAATGTATGTTCAATAACTACCAAACTTTTTGTTGAAGCATATTGTGTCCGTGATACGTTACACGTGGATAACACTAAGCTGAGGCTTTGCAGTGAGTGACTGCAATATGGAGGGCTTTACAAGTGACTTCTCAACCTACACGTTTGTTTATGATATTCTCTTCTATCAGTATCAGAAATTCAATTTGTTAACATTGGATTCACCTTCACAGCAACAAAACCCAAGGAAGATTTCCTGACTATTTCACCATGTTGCCAACTAATAATGACGTAGCAAAAAATATTTTCTGGAGTACTGTTTTGTAATTCCCTTATCAGGGCAAGTTGTTGAGGTGAATATTCTCTTTCTAGCAGCACTACCAAGCTATATCATAGCTGCACTCCCTACTGAAATCAACACATTTCTATGGACATTCTTATGCTAACGTTACCAGTTAAAATACTTATTTGGGCTCCCATAGTCTTTGCTTTTAAGGAACAGGTAAAACACCCTAAGGATTTTCTCCATACTTTGAATGACAGAATTCTAGGAAACTGATCTGGATTATGATGAATGCTGACTGTCAGTGGAAAGTTTGTCATAATCATAATTCATACACAGAGCAAAGAAAACCCTATGTCAAAATCTGCTTAGAGGTGATTTAGCTACTCTTTAACAAGCATCGATTTTAACTGTATTTAGCTGCTGATGCCTTGCAGCTATGAACTGTGACAAAAAAAAAAGAAAAAAAAAAGAAAAAATACTTTCAAAGCAATACTGAGCAAAGGTTAAAACAGAGAAGACCTAACGAGACATGAACTAACAGAGTCTTTCTTTGTTTCTTAGCAACTGGTAGAAGCAAGGGGATTCCTCATATTTTTTTCCTCTATCAAGGTAGTACATTTTAGTGCACTTCATACTGTCACAGCACTTTTTTAATACAGGCAGGGAAGGGTTTTAAAGTTTGAATAGGAGCTAAATAATTTTTGATAGGTATGGTTACATAGAACTTGTAAGCCAGGCCCTAAACGCACACTCTATTGGCTCTCTCCTTGTGACAAAGCTGTCCTCAGGTGCCAAAATTTTATGGGTTTGTTTTGTTTTATTTTATTTAAGGATAGTATGAAGTGGTGAGTGATGTACTTCAATTCAAAGCTGAGTTGATGTAGCCTTATATAGAAGACAGCCTCATGGAAGGGAGCCTTGAAATAAGGCTGCTATGCTTCATTTTCAAAACCTTTTAATCTTATCTCTTCAAAGATAACAAATATTTTGTAATCGAAATTCATACCCCCTTACTCTTCCCCATTCCAAAATAATAGATATTTTAACAAACAAAGAAAGATGAAAGCACATTTACATACTTCAGCAAAGAGCATTTTGTATTCCTTTGGAAAGCTAATTTCACCATTGTGTGCTGCAAACCAACTTGCTGCTCAACAACATTAGAAACCAAAAGTAATAGATGACTGAATCCAGGCTAGCACCTCACAGAGATACAGTAGTGACTCTGTACATCCTGCACAAGGCAGTGTTATCCATTACCAGCCTGTGGGCATGCTTATTTTGCCAGGTAAAGTCGTTTACTAGCTATGTCTATAGCATGAATCAGCAGGTCACAAAACAGCTCTACTCCAGAAGGCAAGTCAGTACACCAAGTCATGACTGTAGGTCCCTGCTGCTTATGTGTAGTTCTTGCCTCCTTGCACGACTGGTTAGCACAGACTCAGTTCCATGCAGCTGTACTGTTTCCAGACCAGAGCCTGTTTTTGCCCTCCTGCTTCACAGTACTAGCATGTCTCATCATTCCTTAACTCACCATGTCTTTAGGAGAAAGAATCTTCTTCACAGGTTACAACCCACTTTTGAGGGAAGAGCATGTCCAATCAGTCTGTAACACAAACATTCTCATTTAGATATTATAGACCACTTAAATGTTGTTCATGGAAGACTAATATGATAACACATGTTTCCCATCAGTACAATATTGTTTTGATATATACAGAGTGTACTGAGATAGTTAATGTGAATTTCAAAGGGTTTCTATTACTATCTGTTGTCATATTCTTTAAGCTGTTGACCAATTGTCCTTACTAGAACATTCTCCACATTGATCTTTACCTAGCCTTTTAGATTCCCATTTTTGTAGTCTTTTCTTATGTTTGGTGGACACTTAATATTAACGTAATCCTGCTAAAATCTGTGGGCTTCACTGCACTGTGAAATAATCAACAATGACCATAAGGATTATACAGATAGATAGACATAAGAATCTTTTCTCAAAAATAAAATCAGTAAAAAGGAGTGAGAAATAGAAACTGTTGGACTGTGACTCAGCATAAATATACCTCTTCTGCTCCCAGATTGCAATTCTGCTCAACCCTGGCCATAGCTACTGCTCAGAGCTTCTTGTCAGCTTTCGAACATATTGCCAAGATGATGTATGCATTCATGTGTGCACACTCACACACACACAAAACCCTCAAACACCTGAATCCATGTTGTAAGAGGCTAAAACCCTAATGTTATACAACCCAAATTTCGAACACTTTTGCTCATTCTTACTCTGGGAGAAGTCATGCATCTTTTGTATACCCCTTTAGCCACAACAGAAATTGTAATTGCACAAGGAACCAAGGATGGACCCTGCTGAGATTGTACCTCCTTGTTGTCAGTCTATCTTTAATGAAAGATAGAACAGCCTTAACGGCATTTAAAGAAGGCAGAATTCATTTTAATTGTACAAGCTTGAACGTACCAGTCTCACTTTGTATGATATGTTTGGGTTTCAACAAAGGGAGGAAAGGTTTTTTTGTGAGAAGAAGGTAACAATTAAGTAGTGACTGTAGTAGTAATTCAAAGAAGCCCAGTAGGAGATTTGAAAGACTGGAAAGTCCTTTGATAGAAGCCAATGGTTTTGACACAAGAAAAAGAAAATCATGAAAGGCAGACATGATTTCATTATGCTGTTTGTATGTTAGTCTGTTTAGGGCATTAAGATATAATGGCAGGGTTTTCAGACATAAAGCAAAGGGTACAGTTATGAGCACTTCCCAATCTAACTAAAGAATGTGCAAGTACCAACTGAATGGCTTGACTTTGCCTTCCAACTTAATGCTGCTGCCAGAAAGGGAATTAAAGGAGTTGAAACAATTGTCATTCTTGACCACAGGGACCTTGGAAAAATCACTTGTTTCTTTTGTTCTTGAGGCCAATCCTGAAGAGTGAAGGTGTAACCACTTCTGGAATCTGTGCTCTTGAAATAAAATGAATCGTTCTGGCAGGCCAGCTGGGAAGAAGTGTTAGCAATACTGAAGAAGAACTGTATTCTTAATTGGTTCTGAAGAATAACTGCATGATGTTGGAGATGTGCTTCCTTGTATTTCTATCTGAACATTGGTGCCTAGACTCACACAGATACTTTAGACCAGAGATTTTTAGACCATGGTTCACAAAGCACTCGCTGATGTTTCATGGGAGCCTGCTTGATTGCAAGGTGTTGGCTTCTTCCATTGTTTTCCAGTTACAAAAGCAAATTAAATGTTAATTAAAAAATAACTGTTAAAAGTTTTAAAAGAAAAAAAAAGTTAGCTTGCTTGGATGTTTATTCAGTTGCTGTGTTTGCAAAAGGAAAACTTAGCAGTCAAAACTGGGAGAATAAGATCTCCAAAGAGAGTAATTGGGAAGGCCAATCCGTGATTCTGATTCTGGATGATGGTGGAGTTCACCTGGGGATGTTTTCTTTAGAGACCCCAAGACCAGATTGAAACACAACATAGCTGTGGGTGTAAACTCTGTAAAGGAAAGTGTGCAACTTTGCTATTCTGCTTAATACATCATTTATGAAGTGAGAAATAAAAATGTGACAGCAACAGACAGCACACAAAAAATGTCGGGTCCTTAGGAAAATCAGAACACAATGCTCAGGATTAATTATGTGACCATGACTTTTTATTGTATTGGAGACCAGTGTCAGGACTGACCCAAAAAAGGACTTTGATGCCTAAAGTTAAGATTTCAGCAGAATTTAAGACCTACATTTAAAACTCAATTTTTAAATCACTATTCAATTGTCACCTTACTCAGGCATCTAGCATTGTATATCTGCACATATCCTGATCTCAACACATCTAACTCATGCTGAAACCCATCAGGGATCCAGAAATCAGCTGTTCCTACATTAAATCCCTGTATATCCCATGAATGAGTACATAGAATGTACAACTCAAACAGCAATAGGATCATACTTCCAACAAAATGGAGTAGAAATCATTCTTTGTTTTAAGGGTATGAGTCTGATTATGCTGCTGTCTTCTTTTAATAATCCTTGAGGTTAGAGCAGTTGGACTGGTGAGAGACCTAAATTCAAACCCTACTGTTACCAGAGGTGATTGAAATCTTACTCCTAGCTGAAAAGTGCTCAAATGACTCAGTGTTGAGGTATGGCAATTTCACAAGATACAAA